TGGTTTCATGTGTTTATTCACAAGTTTTTAGAAATGCCTAAGTGCTTGCTCGTTCTATCTATCTATCTATCTATCTATCTATCTATCTATCTATCTATCTATCTATCTATCTATCTTTTGAAGGACAGTCACATACAAACTCAAAAACCAAAGATGAAAAAGCCTAAAGCTATTTTTGAGTTGATTAAGAAGATGATGGGAGGATGTAAGTTTCTACTACCCTGGTCATCTAGAGAAAGTTTTCTGCTTGATATTTTAGAGCCTCAAATTAATATTCTGTAAGGAGTTAACATAAGAAAAACACCTAGCTTTCAAAAGTACTGGGAACAATGTGGTGGAATATCACTTGAACATAAGAAATACTTGTTAGTTATAACCTGTAAACTTAGAAAAAATTGGAAAATGAAAAACGATTATTTTTATATCAAAAACAATCATGTAAAACAACATGTAGGTTACTGAAATATTAGTCTTCTGAGAAAACTTTGTAACATTTCCTTTTTACCTATGCAAACATCAATTGTTGTTTGTGTTGATGGGATGGTAATCTTATATATTCTTACTATCAGTTGAACTTGAATGCTGATAGGATGCTTTCCTTTTCCATGCCCATGACACAATAAATAATGATTCACCCAAAGGCACTGTAGCATAGCTCATGATTTGCCTGACATCCCAGCCTTGAGTTTTATGACACAAGATTGGAAGGAGCTATGCAAATTGATGTTTCTTTTCCTGCTGAGAAACAAATGATCACACCCCAGGGGGTCTGACCCCAAACCACCAGTCCTGTAAAGTCACCATTTAACTCCCTGGGAGAAAAACAATCCCTAAATAGCAGTGCTAGGATGCTGGGTAAATTAGTGTTAGTTCTTTCAGCATGGTGTTTGCCTGAGATCTTTTATTCTGTATGACCACTTGATTGGTCAAGGTGTTAAACCATTTTTCTAAATTTTTAAAAATTATTTGAGCAGCTAGCACAAAGGCTCAACCGGCTAATCCTCCACCGCCAAGTGCCAGCACCCCATATGGGATTCATGTCCTGGCTGTTCCACATCCTATCTTGTGGCTTGGGAAAGTGGCTGAGGATGGCCTCTGTCCTTGAGTCCCTACTCCCATGCGGGAAACCTGGAGGAAGCTTCTGGCTTTAGATTGGCACAGCTCTGGTCACTGTGGCCTTTTGTGGAATGATATAGCAGAAGGAAGATATTTTTGCCTCTTTCTCCCTGTAATTCCACCTTTCCAATAAAAATAAATAATTAAAACATTATTTGAGAGGCAGAAAGTAAGCAAAGGGGAGGGAGAGAGTAAGGGCTTGTCCTCCTCCTTCCTCTGCCTCCCCCAGGTCTACTGTGGGCAAGGTCAGCAGGAACCCCATGACTTGAGCCATTATTGACACTGCCTCCCAGAGTTCACATCAGTAGCAGGGTGCATTCAGGAGTCAGAGCTGGGTCTCTAATCCAGGTGGACCTTCACTGGTGTCTTCAGGGTTAAGCCAAATAAACATTCCAACAACCCTACTTTTAAAATCTCAGATATGACTGCTTACTATCACAGGCAAAGGTGATATATTTTATTCTGAAATGGAAGCTCTTGAAATGACAAGTAAATAAGTACATATATGGAGACACCATCCCTGCTTTCCCTGAAACTGATTATTCACTTGTAACACTTTGCTCCAGTAGGAGTAAGACTTTGAAAATGCTTCTCAATTTTGAGTTTCTGCCTTAGGAACCACAAAATGAAAGCAAATACCACTGTCCCAAACCATACACCAACACACTGTACTGCTTATTTTTGTGGTTCAATTCTCTCTTTTTTTAGTTTGGGATTCTTTGTGTGTGTGTGTGTAAATGTGTGTGTTGCTTGATACTTAAACTCTTCAGGAACATGTTGATCCAAGAATTGGAGAAAAACGACAGAACTGAGTGAAAACAAAAGGAGCAATGTTACTGTGCTCTCCCAGGTAGAAACCCAAGTCCAGATGAAACGGATCCCTGTCACATGGCTTTTTCAACTCTGGCACCAATATCACAGGTTCATACATCAGAAAACCCATGTGCCACTGTAACCCGGCTGTCAACAGAGGCATGACTACTATCAGGGATAATGGTATTCACAACACTGTGAACAACTGCAGCTACAATCTAGACCACTGGATGGCTCACATTCAGGCAACACATGGGACAAGTCTGAATTTCATACCCACTTCCTTTTCTTTGACTCTTATTCTGTTCTTTGCCTATATACCTTGCATCCTTACCCTGCCAGATCTGCATAGGCACATTACATTCTACCTGGTAAAGTCCAGTGGTAATGAATGTTTTTCTCTTGCCTTGGAAGCACAATCTAAAATCCGGCCCTGCCATCCACTCACATTAGCATTCTGGTCTTAACTCCATCATTTCTCAAAAGGTGCCTGATAAACAGTGTCACCATTCAAAAAGAATCAGGTTGAAATGCACAGACACATTTAGTAAGAAAAACAAAGTCAAAAGCAATGTGTCTAACATGCTGTGACTTATTTCCTCCAACAAAAGGCACACATACCGCTTTGGTGGGGCACAACGGTTGTGGATGGACACATAAGGAACTAGAACTAGTTACCATCCCTAAGGCAGCTCAGGAAAAGTAGAAGTACATTTACTTTGTTATTGGCCTCTTGCTCTTTTTGTAACTTATATCTTATATTGCGTGACTATATTGATGCAAACTACTGAAAAAAATCATCTTATGTTCAGGTTTGATGTTCCCCTTTAAATGTACCAATATACCTTGATTTTGAAATTCACCTGTGATAACTTTCTACTTATAGTGTGTCCTCTCCCACAACTGCTCGCCTCCACTTATGCTAAATGGTGCTTACATTATGCTTACATTATTACACTTATGCTAAATGATGCTGTCCTACAAGTGACACTATTTTCCGAGCAAGCTAACCTTTCGTCCTACAAGTCTATTTATCCCTCCTGCTTTTTCTGTTCTGTCTAGATACATTTTACTGGCCTTATTATTTGTGAGTTTCTGGAGGACAGCACTGTCTTGCTCATCAATTTTCATAAGATAACTTAGATATAATAACCCAATATTAAACAAGGGAGGAATGGAAAATGGAGATCATGGTGTGCTATGGGGTGGAGACCTGTTATTCGAATTTCTGGTGGGTTCTTGGTGCGATGCAGAAAGGCTGTCGAAATGACTTAAGAAGCAAAAGCTTCCAACCACAGGCTGAAATTTTTTTGAGTGTGTGGGTTCACAGAAAGTTCCCCCCTTGAGACAGTCCAAACCTGCTGACATCTTGGCCACCTTCAAATGGGTGGCACAAGCATTGCTGACCCATTTCCTAACCGGTTAAGAGACCACCAATGGGGAACCTTTTACCTGTAGGTTCCTGTCCAAGAAGGAGAGGTCAGCGAAGGCTGAAATCCCAAGATGCTTCCTCAAACCTCTGTCGTCTCTTCCTCCTCCTTCCTAGAGGAACCCTGCCGCTGGGCTTTCTCTCCGGAGGCACTTTCCCTTTCTCGCTTCTTTCCCCACTCAGCTGGTCTACAAATACACTTCTCTGTCTGCAACTGCCCTTGGCTTCTTATTTCTATATTAATCTGAGGAAAGAACCCCCCAAGCTTTCTTTTCTAGTAACACTCCTGCAATAAACAAAGGTGTAAACAATTCATATGATAACAAAATCATCTTTGAGAGGTCTTAAGGTAAAAATTTGAGTTTTCTTTTACTTCAGCTTTTTCTCTGTCAATGCTTTGATGTACCCTGGTATCATCTGAGGCTACAAGCAGCTCATGAGATCCCAAGGCAGGGAAAAAAGGATTGTGGGACTAATAGTTGTAAGATTATCAGTCCAATCTAAGTTGAATACTTCTTATACATCCCTTTTCTTCTACAGTTGACTCCTAAACATTTACCTCATTATTCCCCTCTGCACTGTCCCGCCTACACATCTGGTGTCTCAACTCCACCAACACCCCGGACTGTCAGGTTTTCTCTGCTTTGCTGTTTGCGTCACAGCAACTATTTCAAGCTCTGTATAATCACCTTTTCTGCTCTGTCTTCCACCTTAAATTGCACAACACGACCTCTAAATTATTTACAGTTCATACGACCTATATGCTATTTTCTACACTTATACTTTACCCTGACGTTCTAACCAATCTTTCCCTCCTTTCCCATACATAACCATCAAATAATCAGCCAGGAAAAAAAATCCTAGGAATTAATGAACCCTCCCAGAAATCAGGACATCAAAAGAAAAACATTTCCTGTGATTAATGAGTACTTTGCGTGGCTCAATTGTGCTATGTACCATCTATTATGTATCATCTATCTGAGAGGCAGAGAAAGAGACAGTGAATTTTCACCTACTGGTTTTGTGGTTTACTTCCCAAATTGTCACCAAAGTTGAGATGGAGCCAGGCGGAATGTAGCTGGCAAGTGGGAAACTCAATTCAGGACTTCCATGTGAGTGGTAGGGTCCCAGCCACCTGAGCCATCACCTGCTACATTCCAGGGTCTGCATTTGGTAGGACAGTGGAGTCAGAAGCCAGAGCTGGCTATCAAATCCTAATACTATCACGTGGGATACAGAGGCCTTAACCTCTATAGTTAATTGTTTGACTAAACACTGTAACCCCATTTTGAAAAGAGGTATACAGATACTAATACTGAAGCTAAAACCGATATAAAATGCTCAACCTAAAAAATGCTCAGCTGTGAAACTACTGCAGTTAGCAAGCAATCCCTGGACACATTACTTTCATAAAGTAGACCTTTTGTGTCTCTCAACATCAAGTAAATCATCTAACCATTTCTTTTGTCTGTCACAGATATACAGCTTTAATCAAGGTACCCTAGGTTAAAGCACAGCAAAAGTAACAAGGAATCTTTCAGCTTCAGGAAGATAAAATATTTCCATAGCTATCAAAATACAAAATAAAACACAAGATGGCTACATTATTAAAAGAACTTTTAAAGATCACGATTTTACTTACATCCAGGGAGCCTTCATTTATAACAATCATTCCCATGTTCTTCTTCAGAAGTTTGCAAGAGTGTCCTGTGCCCAAACAAGAGTAAATCAATTAATACAATTGTTCCAGAGAGAGACAAAGATGTCAAAGAAATGATATCATCAAAATAGCCACAGTCAGCTTTTCTCCAGGGTTACTGAAGTTACAAATGAAACACCCCATGTTCTTGCTTGCTGTTGGAGGTAGGGGGAAAAAAAGACAGCACACACAGGTGTGGGAAGACTTAGCGGTCAAGATTCCAGGTGATTTGAATACTAATGGATGGATATGAACATCCTTCTTGACAGCCAACATGGAGAGCAAAAGTTGAGCCCATGTTTGACGCCAGAGAAGGGTACAGGCTAGTGGAGGCGAAGGCAGTATGACTGTCTTGGAATCCCCTGACCCAACACAATCTTCCTGGTACAGACAGCCATGACATCCTCTCCCTTCCTGTCTTTCTTGTTTTGTTGCAGGGCAACATCACCCCCTTGCTGAACCTATCTTGGATAGTATCATTCCATTTAAAATATTGTCAATACTCAATCTCACCAAATCTCATTCCAGTCCATGGTCTGAAATACATAAAAAAAAATAGTTGCCCATTCTGAAACTCCTATTTCACACTGACTTCTCTCCTGAACTCATTTATCCAGGGACATACTTAACTGCAGACACCTAAGTATATAGCAGGCATTCTAAGCTAAGCAAAGCAGCCAGGTCCCTGACTCTCATCCCAGGAAAAACGCTCAGGATTCCTTTGTTTAGGTCACAGCATCTCTCTCCTGCTCTGCAGTCACAGGGATTCCTCTCCTTCAGCTTTGTTGGTTCTACTTTTCAAAACAAACAAACAAACAAACAAACCAAAAAAACACACTGAGAATTCAACCAGTTCAGCCCACCTCCAAACTTCACTTCCCCTGGATTAATGTCACAGGCTCCTCAGAGCCTCCTGCCTCCCAATGGGCTTCCCTTGGAGCCCAGCCACAGTCATGGAGTGACTGCTTTCAGAGTCGTCAGACTGTCTATCCTCAACTGTGAACCATCCAGTCGTTTTTACCCTTGCAGCAAAACCAAGCTCTTACATTGGTCTGGGAGGCTTTGTCTCCACTGGGGTCAGCTTTGCTGCTGAGCTCTTTCCTGCTCTTCTCCCTGTTCTGCACATGTGCTCTGTCTGACCCCAGCAGAAGGCAGCTTTGTCCCAATCATCACATGACAAGCTCTCCTTTTCCAGGCCCTTCCTCAAGCGTCACTCTCTCAGTGAGTTCTCCACAACCTGGTTTGAAACCAAATGCCTCCGGGCTGGGTCTATCTTCCGCCCACATTATGGTTCTTTTTGCAGTTATTGTCATGAACATGCGGTACACTTCTCTAACACCCTTTATTGTTGTTCCTATGACTGCAATCCTCCCTGCTCAATGGACAGATTTTGGCTCCTTAGACGTCATCGGTGCCTGGACCTGGAGTTACTGATTCCTAATGACTCTTCCCCACTTTTTTTTTTTGAGGAACAATCATGGCTCAAGAGTCCAAAAGTTAAATGGTCTCACTATTCAGCCAGCTGCCTTGTGCTGTCCTCCATGTGAGAACACAGGTGCCTTCATTAGATTCTAACGTACTGGTGTCTTGATCTCTGACTTCATGGCTCCTAGAACTGTGAGATGTAAGTTCCTGCTGTATACAAGCCACTACGTTTATGGTATTTTGTTATAGAGGCTTGGAAGTACTAAGGGACTTAGGTAGGAAGACTGTGTCCTTCTAAGAATAGGAAACCACCAGAATTATAAATGCTCAGAGGAAAGGCCATGGGAGGCCACAGAGACAAACTGCTGCCGTTTGCAAGCCAGGGCAAGGCCTCACTAGAAACTGATCCCATGGGCACTTTGATCTTGGACTTGCAGCTTTCAGAATATCTGAGAAAATAAATGTGTGTTGTTGAAGCCACCTAGCCCAACCTAACACAAATGTTTTCCAAAATGGAAATACAAAGGAACTGCAGAAAGAATGCAAATTAGCAACTGTCTTTCTTCCTTTCCCAGAAACTACTTTTGGCCACATGAATGAAGTGTCAGTCCACAAGCTTGCCACAAGTCCAAATTCCAGATCTTTACAGCCAACTGTGGGAAAGTTATCTACATGCGCCACTGATGCATGGAGACAGGGTGTCAACAGAGATGCAAGGGAATGAGATGGCATTTCATGGTGGTAAGAGCTAAGTTCTGGGCCCGGCGCGGTAGCGCAGTGGTTAAGGTCCTCACCTTGCATGCCTGGGATCCCATATGGGCGCCGGTTCTATCCCGGCAGCCCCGCTTCCCTTCCAGCTTCCTGCCTGTGGCCTGGGAAAGCAGTCAAGGACGGCCCAAAGCTTTGGGACCCTGCACCCACGTGGGAGACCCAGAAGAGGCACCTGGCTTCGGATCGGCATAGTATCGGCTGTTGTGCTCACTTGGGGAGTGAATCATCGGACAGAAGATCTTCCTCTCTGTCTCTCCTCTCTGTATATCTGCCTTTCCAATAAAAAAATAATAAAAATAAATCTTTTAAAAAAAAGAGCTAAGTTCTGACTGCATGTAAAGTCAGTGAACTTCAGAGAGGCTTTGGGGCCCTAAGTAAGCAGAAAAGCCTAAAATACTTGTTAGTAAGAATGCAAAATCTTGAACTATTACATCTTTCAAGTCTTGACACGTCTCAAATCTCTCTTCTAAAATTTATCAAACTGTTAAAAAGGATCAAGATTTAAGTTAGGTGAATTACCAATGTTGATGGCAGTTTCTTGCTTGTCTCCTGTAAGGATCCAGATTTTGATGTCTGCTTTCATTAGGGTTTCTATGGTTTCAGGTACTTGATCTTGTAGTTTATCTTCAATGGCCGTAGCTCCAAGTAGCTGAAGATTCTGTAAAAAACGAGTGGCAAAAGTTGTAAGAAAAAAAAAAGTTCAGATTAAGAACAAAAAATGGAAGTACGTATTAAATTATAGATTAAATGATAATTCATGGACTCTGATATACATTCCAGCTAATCCCACTCTTTTGGATCTGCAATTTCATCCAGCTCTTTTTACAAGGCACTGATGTTGGCTGAAGCTGTGTCATCACCCCTCTTGTCCAAAATGCACAACTGATTCTAAGAACTATATTTGGGTTTGGGGGACAGTAAGAAGATCCAGTTAAAAGGGAGTAGGTAGCTACTAAAAACAAGCTAACAAGAATCCATGGATGATTAGTACAGTGATACAGCCATCTTGCTCACCTGTTTGGAAAAAATAAGGCTACAAGCTACTACTATTAAGTTGTAATGTGACACAGTGTCAGGAAATGCACACACAACAGAATAAGAAATGACAAGGAAGACAGCAGTACATCAAGTGGCAGCCTGAGACCATAAGGAAGCAGGTCTAGAAGTTCCAACACTTCCACATTTGCATGGTGGAAGGACCAACCCTCCCTAAGGTCTCTTGCTCACCAGATGGCATTGTGGCTTTGTCGGACTGAAGACAGATATCACACTCTGAAGAAAGCTGTCCCAATGTCTTGCTCACAGCAACATCTACTCCCCTCAGGGACATGGTGACAGTGGAGGGAGTATGTTCTATCCATTAGGAAAACCTAGCTTGCCAGTGAGTGATGATGTTCTTGCTTGTACAGTGACGTGCTGAGAGCTAAATGCTTTTTTCCATCACATGTGCTTTCTCAGCAGAGCGCTGCAAGTCACAGCCAGCGGATTCTCTATCCTGGTCCCCCAAGGCCTAACTTTCAGTGTGACCCACTTTAGTACTTACCTTTCTTCTCAATCTTTTTACCCTCTCTTATATTCATTTTTTCCCATTTAAAATATAAGAGAAGAATGAATTCCAGGAAAATTAAATGATGAGGACAGAGTTAGGGATAACAATGATAACTATTCCTACTTTTCTTCTACGTGGAGCCCTGTTTCTACAATTCAACTCTAAAATTAGCCTAATGTTTCAGTTAGGCATGAAAAACAAAATTAACTACAGATACAAACATGAAATGGAGGGACAGAGAGAGAGTGAATGAATGAATGCATGTCTGTATAGCTAATGCTGGAGTTAGGAGTGATTTTGGCTGTAAGTAATAGGAAAGTCTGACAAGGTATTGAATAATACGTTACAGAAGTAGCAGTGAAGCAGTCAGCAGTAGAAATTAGAATGGTGGTTCAACCATATTCAACTCATTGCCCTGATCTCTCTCAATATGCTAAAGTGGCTGTCACAGTACAGAGGACAACTAAATTGTCAAGAATAAGCAGGTAATATCTGTCGTGTCTCTGATTTGAAAAGCAAACATGTTTGCAGAATTCCTTGGCATATCTCCAAACCTAGACTCTCTAGACTGTGTTCCATGGTTATCCCTATTAGTATTTGGTTTTCTTAGCCTCCATGATGGAGGCAGCCAGGCAAAAGGGGTAAGGGAATGGCAATTATGTTAATCAGCCAATAGTCTCTGCAACAACAGGCGCATACCGGGCCTGTGCCTGTGTAGTGTTTGTGCGCATATACCGAAGCGTGCATGTTTATAAATATGCACACTTATGCATTCTACCACTCTACCTAGTGAAATCTAGTTCATTCTATAAAGCCAAACTAAAAACATATTTCTTTTCTAAGGCTTCCTTTAGTTGCTAAAACAGGTTTTCCCCTTCCCTGTGCTTTCACAGACCTTTGTTCCTCTTCAAACATTTTGAAATTAGCTGCTTAAATGTAAGATGGATAGGCTGCTCAACAATAGGATGCCAGTCTTGGTCATTTGCTTATTTCCACGGTTTTGGAAGGCAATGTGAGCCAATGACAGTATAACAAAAACAAAGATCCAAATTCCAGGATTGAAAATATTACTGCCATCAGGTCATTTTGTTTTCAGTAACTTCCAAAAATATGGACAGCAATGAGATATACTTAACACATGATTCCTTACTATGGAATATATAAAATGGAAAAGCAACTTTCCTTCTGTGAGAAGACAATATTTACTTTATTACTTCTAATGGGAAGCAGATTTGAAAACTAGCATAATCCCATGAATAATTTTAATCAAGACAGTAAAGGAAGAACAATTTAGCATCAATGATGCCAGCTTCACAAATGTTGTAGTTCAATGTTCAGACCATAATTCTATCACTTTTTCCAATTATTTTTAGGGCATTTACAGTTAAGTCATTCTGGCTTATGTCCCTTCATGATGTAGCTGTGTTCAAATTACAAACATTTTACAGAAAATCTGATAAGGGTTTTTAATACTCATTGGGATAGTTCAGCAATACAAATTTTCATTTTTTAAGGAAAAAAAGATTGTTTTTGGTAATATGTGTCACAAAACACTAGAAAACTTGATCATGTGAGAGCTGATATTATACATATACACAAATATATCTGTTTTTTAGATTTACTCTAAGGGTGAATGATCTCAGCTAATATAGCTATATATTACCATACACAAATACATTAAAAATAAAATGACCTCACTGGGAAGATTATGTTGAAATATTTGAAACAAGGAAAGCATCTGTTTTTATGTAGGTATAAACATTTGGCTAACCAGGGAAAAATGACATTTCAGGATTCTTCAACAAGCTCATAGAAAATGGTACCAAAAGAGAAGTTTATCCTGTGAAGAACATTTCAAAATTATGCTAAGTAGAGGTCTTCAAAAGTTTACTGAAAACAGCATGCATTGAGAAAAATTATGTATGAATTTCAAAGCTGTTTATCGGAACAAACATGTTTTAATACCATATTCCTACAACTTGCCAAAGTGCTCATGTAAGGATTAAAGACTCTAGGGCCAGCAAGGTATGCTGAGAAAAGTTACAAGTAGGGCAACATTGAGCATGTTGGTAGCTCTGCTAACAGGAATTTCTAGGGGGCTGGCATTATGGTACAGCAGGTTAAACCTCTGTGACCCCAGCATACCATTTAAGTGTTGGCTCAAGTCTTTAGTATTTCATTTCTGATCCAGCCCCATGCCTAAAAGAGCAGTGGAAGATGGCTTATGTCCTTGGCCCACTGCCACCCATGTGGGAGACCTGGATGGAGGACCAGGCTCCTGGTTTTGGCCTCATGCAGTCTCAGCTGTTGCAGAGGGAAGATAATTCATTCTCTCTCTCTCCTTTTCTACTTATTTGTAACTCTGCCTTTCAGATAAATAAAAGAGCATAGTTAAGAATAAAGTTCCTAAAAAGGGTAATGAAACATTCTGAATATTCAGGGAAAACTGCAATGAATCTATTCTGATACCCATTAAAGAAAGACCACGCTCCACAAGTTACTAACTTTGCCTTCATCCTCAGAACTCCTGAGAACAGCTCTTCCTAATTTTAGGGGAAGGCTCTGCTGACTCCTTTCCTCTTGCCCTGGTGTCACTCCTTATGAGATTAGGATCTTGAGTGATTGGCTGTTCTGCTTTTGGAAATTAATATCTTCAGCTATATAATGGTCATTAGAAAAAAAAGATTTGAACTATGCGTGCTTTTCCTGATCCTAACCCAAGAGTGAGTAGGCTGTAATCAATTTCATCCCAAATATGTATTACCTTACACAGATGGCCTCTAATGGGCACTATGGGAATTACATATTCAGCAAGTGCTGAAACGTGATAAAATTCCCATGGTGTTTGTGGAATTAAAAAAAAAAGTACAATGACTAATTTTGCTTTCAAAATGTCATCATGCCAAAAGTTATAAAGGTTTCAGGTTGATGACTCTTTGATATAACATATAGTTATCATTGAAAAATCGTGAAATAATATTTATTCACTTAGTAAAACCTCCAAGAAGTGTATTTTCTCTTTTAGATGTTTTCAGGGTATGCAGAAGTGTTAAGAAAGTAGATAAATGTGAAATATCCACTCCCAGTGAAGAAAAAAAAAAAACATTTTGCTCAGAGTTAAAACTTCATGTAGGGCCTGGTAGAACATGTGACAGACTTATGCTTTTCCCCAATGCGTATTTACATCACTGAATAACAGAACCTCAGCACAATCTAGTTCCATATTAGGAAATATTCACTCAGAATTCAGGTGATAGTATCTTTTTAAAATGTATGTGGTGTGTTCTTAAATAGGATGAATGTAATAATCAAAATGATACCAATTTAGGCTTAATATTACAACAGACACAACTTGGCAGGGATTTCCTTAAAGAAACAATACTGATAAAGTAAGATTTTTTTATCATTGAAATAACATAAATAAATGGTGGAAACATTTCATAACCCTTATTTTAATAGTAAAAAAATTATTAGGAAGATGAAAAACCAACTAACATTTTCTGAGATAAGGTATCAGACACTACCCGTCTCTTCAGTGAATAGCTTCAGGGAGGCTGAGGAAACTGAGTTCAAACAGAGGTTCAACACAGACCCAAAAGGAATGAATGGGAAATAAAACGGACATTAAATAAAAGTAGGGATTTTATACAAACCACCAAATTCTAAACACTTGTCTCTGTTTTACTTTATTATTTATTCTTTTATCATTAATTTGGAAACCAAAATGACAGGAAGAAATGGAGAAATCTTCCATCCACTGGTTCATTCGCTGCATGCTTGTAACACATAGAGCTGGATGAGGCTGAAGCCAGGAGTCAGGACCTGACTCCCATGTGGGAGGCAGAGCCCCAAGTACTTGAGCCATTATTTGCCACTTCCCAGGTACGTTAGTAGGAAGCTGGATAGGAACAGAGATGGGATGCAGTCCCAGGTACTGAGATACACGATGTCCATGTCCCAATCACAGCAGCCTAATCTGCTGCACCACACTGCTTGCCCCTGATCTTAAGTCTTTAATAACACTGGTTATTTGTTTCTACAAGTTGATTTCAACCTCAGTCCCAAATTTCTAGTGCCAAGTTTGGTTAATTCCCTCTTTCCCACTTGCA